AATAATAAATTATTAAATTAATTTATTATTAAATATTTAATTCTAATATAATATAATTAACTCATCCCACCTTCACCACCCTACTCTGGCGAACTCTCCGACGACCGTTCCGGCGACTACTCCGATTCCGGTGACCGTTCCAGCGACCGTTCGGGCGACTATTCAGGTGATCGTTCCGGTATCGATTTTTTTCGGCGACTGCTCCTATTCCGGCAGTTGTTCCAACTCTGGCGATAACTCCACTATATTTTTTTGTAGGTTGACATGTTTTTTTTATGCTCACAACCCAGGTCACAAGTCACAGCTCATGTCACAAGTCATAAGTCACAGCTCAGGTCACAACGTATGGTTGTTTGTTTATAATGATTGATAACACGATAAGGCTCATGTCTCACATTTTTGTTAACAGTCACGGATTATTTTCAAATGATCACAGCACAGATCATGGAATATATTGCACAAGGCTCACGATTTTGTTCATAGTCTCATGTTATTTTCAAATGGTCACAGTACAGGTTACGATTTTGTTCATAGTCCCATGTTATTTTTAAACGCTCAAATTTTTGTTGATAGTCACAGCATAGGTCACAGCACATAGCTCAAGTCACAACATAGGTCACAGCACTACTGTACAACGCCGAGCCACCACCACACCGTCACACCACCACACATAGCACACCGCACCTACAGCACATATCACCGCACCACCACACACAGCATTGCTCCCAACCACAACACCGTACACAGCATTGCATCCATAGCACACATCACCATTACCGTACACACAACACCACAATCGCCGCCAGGTACCTACAGCTCCGATCTCAAATCAACAGCACAATCAACCAATTAGCCCTACCCTCTCTATCCACAAAGTTCCCAACCCGACGATGCAAAACTATGATCATCAACATCAATTCCCACAGCCAATTGAAACATCCAACATCTTGATCGGCCAATCGAAACATCCAACATTAGTGTTTAAACACCAAATTGGGATGTTTAGATCGCCACCTAAACACCAACAAAATGCCAGCCCAAACATCAACAAACCCATCGCCACCAACTAAGATTCGACACCGCCGCCTAAACACCAAATCGCAAGCACACCAATCATCACCCAAATACCAACAAAATTACCACCCAAACACCGAATCTAAGTAGAGAGAGAGAGAGTAAAGCATAGAGAGAAGGGAGATGGAATATAGAAAGAGGTGACATCATCGCTCATTTAGCAACGTCGACAACATCTTCGTTCCTGTAGTGGCGGCGTCAACCACTGTTGCAGTGGCGTAGACGGCATCTAGCGAGCGTGGTGGCAACGTGAAAAAAGTGGCGTCCATCATCATCGGTGGTGTGGCATCGGGGGTGTGACGACGGGAAGGAGATGGTAGAGACGAGAGAGTGAGCAGAGAGAATCTACTCCTCCTTTTTTAATCCAAAGTTTCATTTGGTGGGGCTGGATAGAGGTAGGGGATGGTATATAAATTAATTTAATTTTATAATGTTATTATTAATATGTAGAATTATAAATATATTTGATTTTGGAAATATTAAACTTCCAATCTGATTTTGAAAGGTTTAATACTTAAAGTATGGTTTTGTGTAATTACCACTAAAAAGAAATGTTTTGATAAGAAATTAATAAATGCTTTGATATAACTGAAGTTGCATTTTAGTATTTAAATATACAAGACTGAAAATCCTGAAAATTGGAATAGGGAATTTGATTGTGTGAAATGGCAGTGTTTGCTGACTAATTTACTCATTCATAGAATTAATTGATTTCAGAAAGAGAAGTTTATTTATTCCTGTGAAAGTTTCATTATATTTATTGCTGTAGCATTAATTAAAAGCTGGATGGTATACGATCTCTAATTTTTTTGGCTTGCCTGTCGATGCGTGCGTCCCACTTACGTTTTAATGAAGCTATCTTATCATGTTTGCCTTTTGCGTAGGATTATTGCAAAACACTATTTTAGAAAGTTTAGGATGCATCTGGTTCAACCGTTCAGAGTCCAAGGATCGTGGAATTGTAGCCAGAAAGTATGTTTTACTGAAAAAGTCCTATTTTCATAGTAGTATTCATATTCTAATTTAAAGTTTTCTTTTAGGCTGCGGGAACATGTTGAAGGGGCTGATAATAATCCTCTCCTTATATTTCCTGAAGGAACTTGTGTGAACAACCACTATTCAGTGATGTTTAAGAAGGTAACTTTTTTCATATACAATTGTTTAATCTGTCAAACAAATATCAGGAGTTTTGTTTTTCTTGTCAACTAACTCCTTACAAGCAGACAATGAAACACCCCTGCAAAAAAATAAATTTTCTCCAAGCTTAATGGCGATTTTCAGATGCTATTGAGTCCTGCTCTTTTTGTACATTAAATTTCTTATACTACTGAGTCTTGCTCTCCTTCAACATTTGTTTTTTCTTGTTAATGGAACGATTCTTTCAAGTAGAAGATAAGTTACTGAAAAAGAGAAGGTAAGTTGGTAATTTTGAACTGTGAGATATATTTGTTGAAAATTTATCTCAAATGAATCTATGCTGACTGTATTAATTGTTTGAATTATTAATTGAAGTGCTTACTCTATTAATCTTCACGACTGTCAATTTTCTATGGTGTTTAGGGTGCATTTGAACTTGGCTGCACTGTTTGTCCAATCGCAGTCAAGTACAACAAGATTTTTGTTGATGCCTTCTGGAATAGTAAAAAGTAAGCTTCTCCATTATGCTGGTTTCTAATTCAATTTTCCATTGCTTTCACTTATTGTCCACAAATTTCTTCAAATATTTCTTTTGTTATGGTTAGAGCTTACTTTTAGTGGAAAAGCTTTGTGATAATATTGTCTTAGTATTGTCGTTAGCTGGGGATGGTTCTTTCCCTATGGTACAATTTGCAAAAAGTCTACTAATTATTAGTTAAATCACTTTTTTATGGACATATTAAAAAACAGACGTCTGTTAGGAAATGATGCGTGAACAACGTCGAGTACTGTAGTACCCGTCAACAAACACTACACACCATGGACCTCGGAGTCTTAGACTTTGGACCTCTTTGTGGTTAACTTAAACGTCTCTCCAAAGTAGTTTTAGTTACAGAGTTACGATGTTTGCACGCGTTTATCACTTCGGAGATAGAAATATTTTAATTTCTGAACAATTTTAACAAGGCCCTTCCATCTTGATTTTATGTTTGTTTAGGGTGAGGGACATTATTTCTGTTCGGGCCGGCCTTAAGAAGGTTCCATGGGATGGATATTTGAAATACTCTCGCCCAAGCCCTAAACATCGCGAGCAGAAGTAAGTTGTTCATTTGTTGATTTCGTTTATTAGGTTGTTGGAAAATGTCATTTCTAACAAAAATTGAAACCCTTCTGTGTTCTTATCTGTTCCTATATTTTTATTCGCAGACAAGAAAGCTTTGCCGACTCAGTGCTTCGTCGTCTGGAAGAGAAATAGATTCAAGATATGCAATTTCATTATTTGTGATATTTTCCTATATGTCTTCAGCTCACTTATATAAAGAACTTGACGTTTGCAGATACATTTAGCAAAGAATGAGACTATGGTTTTTAGTTGCTACCAGTTTGAAGAAGAGTGTACTCAAAACTTTGTCTTTCATTAGCTTGATTTGATTTTAATGAACCAGTTTGAATATCAACTGTAATGCTCCCTGTTCCTGTGTTATATATGTGTAAATTATAAAATTTGATAAATTAATAACCTCATTCAAATAATAAATTTTTTGGATCCAAACTTGAATCAATATATTAAATTAATAATTTCGCTAAGTGCATAAAATAATAATTTTATTTAAAATCTTTAAGAATCCAACGAAAATATAAAATAATCATTGATTAAATATGTTAAATTTTATAATACTTATATATCTTTCTATATATAAAAAGTGCCTATTTAACGGAATTTGTTGGTTTAACGGAAAAACTAATGGAATTTGTTGTTTTAACGGATTATGTAACGGAATTTCTTGTTTTAAACAGGCAGCTGCACCTTCTTTCAGTGTTTTTATCATAACTTTGTATTCCGATATTCGATTGAGGCGATTCAAAATGC